ACTCCGACCAAACCGCCGTCCTCCCACCCCCATATCGTTGCCTTCTCATCCTCCTCGTCCTCACCAACACCACCAGTCTACCATCAACTCCAACCCCTCCTCAGTCGCTCGAACTCCAGAGCCGTCACTGTTGTCGTCGCCACCACCAACAACCCTGCGCCCAACCCCCGCTCACCCCTCTTCAGCTCTCTCTCTGCCTCCATCATGCCACCCATCGTTGCCGCTCCTCTCACCGCGCCTCAGCTCTAATCAGCCCCCGTCGCACTACCTTTGTAGCGGAATCGTTGCCTCATTCACAGGCTCGTAGCCTCACACGGGAACGTCAATTCGTTCGACAACAACCCTGAGGCAAGATCTCGTTCTTCAAATCTGAATTTTTAGATCTGTCATGAATTATATGCATATATTAGACTATGATATGATTATGTTGCAGTGTGTATTTGTGATAATCTGTGTGGGTTTATTTGATGAACGATATTAAATAATAATAATATGATAAATAGTATACTATAAGGATAAGAATTATTTTCAAGGAAAAATATTTTAAATACTATTTTAGAATAATTATAATAAATTAAAAGAATTTATTTTGAAAAAAAATCATTTTAGAATAATGATAAATAATTTAAAGGAATTTTTATGGAAAAGGAATTATTTTAGAATTATTATAATAAGAAATAAATTAAAAAAAATATTTTGTAAAAGGATTAATTTTTAAATAAATAAATTTATTATTTTAAAAGATTATTTAAAATAATTTTATAAGAAGTTTAGAGACCCGGATCGTAAGTTATTGATGAAATCGATCTACAATGCATATTCATATTAAAGTTACTACTCATAGTCACCGTTCACACACACCATATTGTTCATAGTTGTTGTTTATGATTTATAATTCTTGGGTTTAATTATGTGATATGCCATGATATTATTGTATAGAATTAGTTGTATTTATTACTCTTTGTCGTGTTTGAGAGCCAATAGGAGTTCATGACTTAGTGACCCTTGCGCATCATGAACAAGACCTAGAGACGTGCGCGCGTGTGTGTTGGCTTAGAATCACAAGAATCGTTGGGATGGAAAAGTCATAGTTTATGTGATCGGATGTAGTTGTTGATGTATCTTCCAGACTCGTATCAGTGAACCGTTTCGCACTGGGGTTGATCTGTTGGGCCAGTGAATCGTTTCGTACTTAGTCAGTGAAATCGTTTCGTCACCCGAGTTTTGCTTGAGTTCGGACCAGGCTAAAATTGGATTGCGTGTAGTCCTCTCCCCAAACCGTTTCGCGGGTTTGGATGCATATAGAGGATTTGTGAATAGTCAGTTATCCGATAATATGAACGTTGACTTTGTTTAAGATGTGAACTAGTGATCCATTATAGGATGACTAGCTACTTAACCTCGTTACTTGGTTGTTTTTTGGATTCTTCTGATTATTATACTCTAGTAGTGGATTTCATTTAGATTATTAGAATTCTAGTGCCATGCTTCTATTGTTATTATTGTTATTGTATTGGCCGTTCGACCGTTACTATTCTTCCTTGTGGGATCTTGTCGTGTGTCATGCATGCTGACGTACTCCCGTTCTCTCGGGTTGTACGTCAGATTTAGAGGACAGACATGTTTAGCTTGGAGATGTGCAAGAGCTAGAGAATCATCAGCAGGAGTGCCTTGCAGACAGAGTAAAAGCCGGAGCTTAGTTATTTCTTTAATTAGTTGTTGTTCTTTGGTTTACCTTGTATTACGTTGTAGCATTTTTCATTTTCATTGGGTCGATGTATTTTTATATTTTCTCAAGTATTTAGTTGATAGTTTTGTATTATGGCATGTATGACCCGAGTATTATGTCTTGGATGATATTTCTTTTATGATATAGATCATTTTGTTCTGAGTTGTTTATTATATTATTACTAACTGTGATCAGGGACTTGTGACTTCGTATTATATTGCTTGACGCTTAGTGTATTAGATTGAGTAGAAATGGTCTAGTGCTTATTTCTCCTCAGTATAATACGTCGTGGGTTTATTCGCGTTCCGGTTCCCTGGTATTTTAGGAAGCGAGGCGTGACATAACCCCTCCAAAGTTTAAAAATTTTTAATAATTTTTTATAATTCCTTTATTTTAATGTAATGTTTAATAGTTTTGTGTATTTGTAAATTACAAAAGTTTAGGGTTTTTTTACAATTTTAAAACTTTTGAGGGTATTTCTTTTGTAGTTTTCTAAATTTTTATTGTGTTTTTAGTGTAATGCATAGATACGTCAATTAAAAATTATATTAAAGAGTAAACCGTTTTAAAGATGTATTAGGTCATAGTTAAGTGTGCACATCACTATTCTTAGGTGGTATAGTTTATATATGCAATAATTTTTAGGCAATCTATATAGTGGTTAAACATATTTTGACTTTCATGTACTATCTTTTATAAATTATATTTAATGTGAACACGTCATATAATTTTGACTGTGGTCATCATAATTTTGATATGTTTTATTGATTGACTATATAAGTATATACATCATAGATTACTTTGCTTTCTCATATAAACTAATATTTGACACATAATAATTTAAATTATTACTTTTAAATTTAATATAAAGAGAAGCTCTAATAACATTTATTTATTTACCTACAGGATAATACAATATCAATTCTTATTATTCTTAAGATTTATTCCATATTTGCGCTAAATTAATAATTATTTATGCTTAAATTAGGATGATTATTGTTGGTCGCTCACTATGATTTTTTTATAAAGATATATACCTTACTTTCTATATCTATCTGCACTATCTATGTATATTTGACAAATTAATTGTTAATTTGACATATTAAATTATTTTTTCTTTGTAAATTTTTTTCTTTGACTTTTGGATTGTGTAATCACTATATCACCATTCTAGCGTGGTTTTCACTCTAAATGACTTCAAGCCAATGTTTGAGTTGAGCTGAAATATATAATTTTGTTACTATATGTATATATTTTTTAAGAAAATCATGTCAATACTTTTTAAGCAGAAGGGAATATTCTAACATTTGATATTATAAAAACTAAGTATAGCCAATTGAGTGATTAACAAAAGAGAACTTATATCAGAAAAGTGTGAATAATAAGATAAAGAGGAAAGGTAATGGCATTACCAACAACACTACTAATAGCAAAGTATAATGTAAAGTTAACTTATTTTGTGGAGCCCAACTACTGACTATAAGCATCGAGGTTTCCATATATATACTTTATAATTTATTAAAAAGTGTCATATAATCTTATATAATATAATTAATTCAAAACTAAATAGTAATATCGCTGTAATAATATCGTTATTAGGAATTTTTTTCATGAACCAGTATGTTATTTACGATATATAAGTTATGCACTCTAAATTTTTGTGTCTTTTATAGAATCAAAAAATATAAATACGAGCCTCTAACATTTTGCTCTCACAACAGTAAAATCCACTTAGCAGATGTGGATATTCCAATTGAGCTATATGACCTATATGTAATACAATTGTCTAGGTAAGTGAGTTATAATAGCATTTTTAATTCACATCATTTGGGCCAATATTTGATAAAGACCTTGCATCAAAGATTTTTTTTTATATTTATAGCACATAGGGAAATATGTCATAATCTCCCAGTTCTAATTTCGTAAAAAAATAATTCTTCATACTTTTAATTTTACTTCTATGTTATGGAGAATGAGCTATAAAATTGAATGAAAATATTAGATAATGTAAATATGAGTGAAATCACAACTAAAAGTTAATATGAATATGAGTCAAACCATAATTAAAAGTTTTAATGGACATATTGTAAGTAAATTCATATGCAAAATTCCTTCGCGAATTGAATGATCACCCAGCTTTTGAAGACTTCAATATACTAATAAACATAGATGTTATACTATATCAATGTGTTTGTTACTCACAAATAGTAGATCATATGGCCACACTCTGAGTTGAAGAAAACAATGACAATAGTTTATTTGAAAGAGGGATTATTGAGTTGATGATCAACCCTACAAAAAAAGTATTATTTTATTTTTATTCTATTTTTATCAATTTAAATAATCGTAATATTCGATCACGTGCATTGCACGTGCATTTCAAATAGTAGCACTAAATAACCCACCTAATCATTCTCAAAACTTAACATCTTCAAATAAATATACTCAATTCAAACATGGCCTACCTGCCTTTTGTATTTTGGACTGCAGTGAAAATTAGAGTTACCAATGTTATTTTTTATTTTTATGACAAACTCAGTCTAATTAGAAGCCATGGATTGTTCTATGGGCTACTATGCCATCTTTGTTTTGAATGATTAGTCTAGCTCGAAAAGGGCCCAATAGCCCGTTGACGAGTTATATTTCGCCAATTAAATTAAACTGATAGAAATAAGAGGCTAAGCCCATTTTTTATGTAATCTCAACTTAATGTTTTTTGGGTAAAAAATATCAGAGAAACCCCACTTTGACTGATTTTATCAAAAAACCCCTCCTAGCTTCCAAAATATCAGAAAACTCCTTAAATATGGACATTATCACTCTATAGCAAGAATGGTCTGGTTAAATAAGATGATATGATAGGTTATGCTGATGTTTACCCCCTATTGGTCTGATTAAATAAGATGATATGATAGGTTATGTTGATGTTTACCCCCTATCAACCACAGACTCTATCTACTACGGTGCAACCTTACTCAAAATTTCCGTAGATTCTATCCACTACGGTGCGACCTTACTCAAAATTTCTGTTGAGGATATGCAACTTATGAAAAAGTTCTCCGTACAGAGTTTAGTCATGAAAACTAACATTGTAAAAGGGGACAATTTTAGTCATGAAAAAAAAACCCCCAAAAGAAAAGGAGGACTAATTTGTCATTTTGAGCGATATGGTTAGTTGGTACTCGGGTAACTTATGCCCACGTGCCAAAATATTTTCACTATTTTGACGCTTTCTATATTCACGAGACAGCGGCAGCCCAATAAAAAAAGAAGAAAAAGAAATTAAAAAAAAACCTTCCTTTTACTGCGAGAGAGAATCCCCATATCTTAATCATCTAAAAGGGTTTTTATCCCTAATTTTCTAATCCCTCAGCTCAAATCTCTTCCCTTCTCTCTCATCGATCGCCGATCCAATTCTCGATCGATCGAGGAGAGGAAAGAAGGAGAATTTTCAAGATAATTCTGATCTCTTAGAGTTTTCTTTTCCGGCGATCTTTTCCCCAATTGATTACCGTCGTAGCTAGGGTTCTCTTGGATTCCAATGGCGCGTTAGGGTTTTTGAGGAAGCGATCGAGTTGCATGGGTGAGGAAGAAGAATGCCGGAGCTACGGAGTGGGGCTCGTCGGCGAGTAGGCGGCGGCCGCGCTCAGCAGAAGTCGACCGATCTCAATCGGGGTTTAGATACTCGTACGCCCCGAACGGGGGTGAGAACTAGGGCGGCGGCGGCCAAAGAGGCGGCGAGGAATCAGGGAGGGGGTTTGGTTGTGAAGGAAGAGGAGAAGAGAGGGAGAGGGGCAGGGAGAGGGAGAGGAGGTAGAAAGAATCAAGTGGAAGAGAGGAAACAGGAGGAAGAGAAGAAAGAGGAGGCGGAGAAGAAGATGGGTGATAGTGGTGGGTTGAGTGCAAGTGGGGATGCAATGCAAGAAGAGGAAGGGAACACAGCTCCTTTCCCCGAGAAGGTATTATCTCATTTGTTTTTATTGAGTTGAACTCGGCTACTATACAATACCTAATATGTTTATATTGGCAATTCAAATCTAAAAATTTGATTCCTAACATATCTGTATTGTTGGATGCGATGTAATAATACAAACTACTGAGAAATAAAATTTTCTAATGATTTTTATGTCTTTAATCATGAATCAAGGGGCAAAAAATTAAGCAACTTTAAGAAAATTCTGACACTTTTATTTTGAAACATACGATATATTGGTAAAATATGTTGAAGCCCTTTGGAATTTTATTTCTAGATGGTTGATATGTACTGGTTCATATCTAGCATATGGACATTTGAGTTTTAAAGTCCAAAATGTGAATTTTGGATTGGTAGCATGCACATTCAGATGCTATTAATTGTAGCATAGCTCAAGTTTCTGTGTGTAACTAGCAGTGGCAGATTCAGAAAAACTTTGGTTTTTTTTGAGCGGGGGCGGGGTTGGAGGTGGGTGGGTTTGTATGACTATCTTTTTATAAATTAAAATAAATCATAGTACAAAAGGACATCCTTGACAAAAGGGGCTATATTCCCAACTTAAGCAGGGCTAAAATCAAATGGGATGCAAATATTTTA